TTTGGAGAAGTGGAAGGTATTCTTTCGACCAACGTTTCCAAAATTGGTCGGCTAAATATTGGACTTGACGCCATCTTCTTTTTGAATATAGATTTTCTTTCCGGAAAACTCCAGGTGTGAGGGGGACTTCTGATCTAAGCAGAAGTAGGTGGTTGAGAGTCAAGGCTTCCAGATCCTCTGGTTCCTCTGAAACCTGTGTGATAGGTTTTTCACAATGATTGAGAATTGCGTTGAGGACCTTCCGTACAGTTCTAATACACCTTTCCCAGGTTCCTCCGTGATGAGATCCTGTGGGGGTCTTAAATACCCACTGAACCTCATGCTGAAGAAGATAGGCATCAATGTTCTGATGGTTCCACTCCCAAATTGCGTTGCTGGTCTCCTTGCTGCCCTTCACAAAGTTTCCACCATTGTCGCTTCTGATCTGTTCAGGTTTCTCTCTTCGACCTATGAAACGGCGTAAGGCCTATACAAATGAGTCGGTGTCAAGCGAGTGAGTCACTTCGATGTGTACTACCCTTATGGTCATACAAGTGAAGATACAACCATATCTCTTTACCTCGGACCGTCCTCTTTTCGCAATGAATAGTCCAAAGAAATCAAGACCCACGAAAGTGAATGGCGGCTTGTTTGCGGTGACACGGTCTTCGGGTAAATGAGCCATCTTCTGTTCAGCAACGGGAGCTTGTCTGCGGCGACAGCTGAAACATCTTGATAGTAGTCTTCGGACGGCTGAATTGGCTCTGATAACCCAGAATCTTTGTTGCAACAAGGACAAAACGTGCTCTCTACCTGAGTGTACTGAGGCCAAATGATAGTACTGAATAATTAGGTTGGATACATGATTGTCTTTGGGTAAAATGACTTGATGCTTGGCACTTTCTGGGATCAAAGCAGATCTGAGTCGACCACTGACTAACAAGAGCCCATCAACTAGTCTAGGATCCAACTTGTAGATAGCACTGGACTTCTTGATCAGCTTCGTCCGTGACTGAGGCTGGATGCAGATCATCTCGTTGTTTGTCTCCTTGCTCTTCAAGATCTCCATTTCTTCTGGGAAGCTCTTTCTTTGGACATACTTGAGGATGTCCCTTTCGGCAACTTGCATTTCTTTAACCAAAATAGGTGTTGCTATTTTTGTCTTCTTTTGGTCTTGAGGATTCTTAAGACACTCACCACAATTTCGAAGGTTTTCTTTGTACCGCAAGACCCAAGCAGTAAACTTCTTTAATTTGTGCCATGAGGAGAATAGCTTTATCATTTCCTCTACCAGTTCTGGGCCTTCCTTTCGTGATGCTCCACCTGCTTTTGCTTCCTTCTTGACTTCTGGGTCCTCGTCTGAAATTCGTTCCAGAGTTCCTATGCATTTTGGCCAATGGTCTTCTGTTTTCATCAAGAACTCCGGCCCCAGTAGCCACCTCGAACTTCCAAGGAGTGTATCTGCTGTCAATCATCTCGACACGTCATCAGCGGGATTATGTTTGGACTTGATATATCTCCACTGACATGGGTTCGAACCGTCGCGAAGTAGAGCTACCCTGTTGGCCACGAATGTATGGAATCTTTTGTCTTCACTCATTATATACTTCAGTACAGAGGTGCTGTCAGTCCAAAACACCGAGTCGTCAATGGGGAGCTCCAGTTCCTTTCTCATCATCTTGTCCAATCTAATGGCTATTAAGGCGGCTGATATTTCTAGTCTAGGGTTGGTGATTTGTTTGAGTGGCAGGACTCGGGAATTGCTTGTCGTCAGGGTGCAGCTGATGTTACCATAAGAATCGGTCAAGCGCAGGTAGGTCACAGCTCCGCCGCCACTGGTTGAAGCATTTGCAAAATGGTGCAATTGGCTGGTCATGATATCATTGAAATTCTTCGGCTTGATGCATCGGTTAACAGAGGAACCTACAGTTTAGGTAAATCGGCAAGCCAGACATGCCAGCGGTCTTCGTCATCTCCAGGTATGGTGTCATCCCATCCTAGCTTTCTTCGGCATAGGTCTTGCAGAAGGATCTTAGCAGTCAGCACAAATGGTGCAGCCAAACCCAATGGGTCCTATATAGAACTAACAACAGCCAATATCCCGCGTCTAGTCGGGTCCCTCGGTTTCACGTTGATGTTGAACTCAAATCTGTCTTTCTGGATGTTCCACTGGATCCCCAGTGCACGTTCGCTTGGTAAGTGATCAAAGTCGAGCAGCTTAACTGATTTGGCTCTCTCACCTTGTGGAATGGACTCTACAACCTTTTTTCAATATGACACCCACTTTGTCGGTCGGAATCCACCATTCTGCAGAAGTTTACTAAGCTGGTAAGCTAGAGTGATAGCAGTGTCCTCGGTCTTGACTGACTTTAAACAGTCATCCACGTAAAAATTACGTTTGACGGTTTCAATAACATCACAGCTAAACTTCTCTTCATTATCTTCGGCTACCTTTCGTAATCCAAAATTTGCGCAGCTGGGTTAGGATGTTGCACCGAATAGATGAACTTGCGTTCAATAATCCTTCGGGGCCCGATTAAGGTCGCCTTCTGGCCACCAGAGAAATCTTAAGGCGTCACAATCCTCAGGGGTTACTGGCACCTGGTGGAACATAGATTCAATATCTGCCATCATTGCAATGTGTTCCTGTCGAAATCGAATTAATACTCCCACCAATGAATTCGTCAAGTCGGATCCCTGCAATAACTTGTCATTTAGTAATGTGCCACGGTATTTGGCTGAACAGTCGAACACGACTCTTGTTTTGTCAGGTTTTAGGGGGTGGTGCACTGGATGGTGGGGTAAGTACCACACAAACCCATCTTGA